TTTGGGAGGTGACAGGAATCACAAGGGTTAACCCTCATAAAACGGATTAGTGCCCTTATAAAACAGAACTCTAGTGAACTCCCTTCTCTCTTCCATCATGTGAGGACACAGTGGAAAAAGATTGCTGTCTATGAAACAAGAAGCATTTCTCACCAGACACCAAATATGCCATTACTTTGATCTAGTACTGACCCCTAGAGAAGTATCAGAAATAAATTTCTATTGTTTATAAAATCACTTAATCTATAGCATATAGCAATCCTAACAAACATATGCCAGTTAAAAGCAGGGATCTCAGGACCCTCCCTGGTGGCTCAAAAGGTTAGGACAGTAGCACTGCAAGCGAGCTGCAGCTGCTTCAATGCAAGTTCCATCCCCAGCCCCAGAGGTGACCCACATGGCGGGCAGACTTCTCCTGGCCGGCCCACTGCTTCCCCTCAGCAGTGTACTTCATCAGTTGGCCTGTTCTGCTCCCGACTCTGTCTCTGGTGAATCCTCTCACTGTCCCTGCACTTCTGGCCTGTACCCCAGTTCTGTATGAATAAATAGATCTTTAAAAAAAAAAAAAAAGCAGGGATCTCAAATCTACTTTAATCAGAATAGATTCAGAAGTTTTAATTAAAAAGTTCAAAACCATGGGTTTTTGTATCATCTGGAAGCATCTACTAAAGAACAATTAAACCAGGATTTCAGGCCTTATCCAAGAGAAAATGTTGGTGTTTTAAAAAGGGACTAGATTCTAGACACTAAACCTAGAGTGGGTCCTGGTTCTGCCACAGTTAGATGGGTGACCTTTAATCTCTGAGTGTGAAACTTCTTCACTCCCTTGTGAAGCTGTGGGCAAATTAAATAACACCCACAAAGCTATGACTATAATGCCTGCCACAAAGTAATTACAAAAAACAAAGAAACTGCTATTCTTACATTATCTAGTAGTATTCTGAAATTACTAAAACCAATATGAAAAATGAAATAATGGAAACTCAAGAAAAATCATAAATTCAAAACTACCCTGAATATGCAAACAAATTAAAATAAGGTTGAATGAAGTTGAAGACAAGGGGCTATAAAAAAAATGGTTGAAAGAGTAAGTCGTATAAGAGTGTTAAAGGAATAAACTTAACCTGAGAGGAAGATAAATGGGGGAGCAGAAAAAAAAAAAGGAATATGAAAAAGCAAAAGAGTAAAAGCAGAAATAAAGAAGTATACTTTGAAGCTGGTGGGAGATTTCCAAATCAGGACTGACTGAAAAAGAAAGATGTAATCCTAGAGTATACAACTCAAATTAAGAACTGCCAGAACAACTATGGATTTAAAAAACACACAGATATTGAAGTAAAAAAATCCAAAGTCCTTATGCTACCACTATGTTTTCAGGGTGCTAAGGTAGGAAGAAGGTCTGAGTTTCAGTTTTCTCATTTATTAAAAAAATACTATCTGTGCATATTAATTTCTCTGAGTCTCAGTTTGTTCAGTTGTATAGTACAATGACAGAAGAAATCATTTCTAAGATCTCTTCCAGCTTTATGATTCTAGAGGCAAGAGAGTCTCTGTTCTCACTAACAGACTTATATGAGACCAGCCTATGTTCTAATAAGGACAGAGAAAAGAAAAATACAGGAAAGTAAGTCACTGGAGGACCATATAAGATTGATTAACATATGCTTTTTTTTTTTTTTAATCTTCACAATACTATAAAGAAGCATCTTCCCAAACAATTTGATTCTCCAGGATAAGCAGTTAACCCAAATTAAGACCAAAGCATCTATTTAAAGGGTATCAGTTACCAACAATTACGTAATCTTATAATCATATTTTCTTTTTATTTTATTTTTTTCCTACAGTCCATCATCAATTTGTTTTGACAAAGTGAGAAGTTGCACACTCCAATTAAAATTATCTGAAGCATGTGGAGTTACTAAAAAGCTAGTATTTCATATATATTTTTTTTTCCTGAGAGAGTACTGAAAGATCAAAGTTTAGTTTACAAAAGACAGTAACTAAGATATATACCAACAATAAATGCTTAATTTTACACTCCCCAGTGTAATCCTCCCAGATCCAAATAAATCTGTTTTGATCCAGTTTCCATATTCTCCTTATTCATGTTAAGGCTACCTTTCTGTCTTCCAACACCTAAATAATCTTAAAATTACCTTCCATGTATCCTTCTACTAAGCACTTTCAATTGTGGGTCCATGGACCTATCTCCTATCAATTTTCTCATTTTACTTCTGTTATTTGTCAGTTTCCACTTAATTCCCTGTTTTTTTCCAACCATTCATACCAACCCTCTATCCCACTGTTTTAACTTGCAGAATTCTCTTTTCTTTCATTCCTAGAAACCATTTTACAGTACTGAATCCCATTCTCATCTCCTTTTTGATCAGTCTTTCTTTTTCTTTCTGACTTATCTCACTAAGCATGATCTTTTCCAGCTCCATCCAAGTTGCTGCAAAAGACATGTGTTTCTTTTCTTTTTTTTTTGGTAGTTTTTTTTTTTGATCAGTTTTTGTACGCATTATTTCTTCAGAACCCAAAATTTCTCCTCCCTCGTCCTTTTCAAGAAAATCCACCAGCCCATCTAAAAATGCACTGCTGACTACCTCATACCCACATGTTCTTCCTACCCCTTTTCTTTTTACAGTCACTAGTCTCCAGAATCCTGACACCACAAATATCCTTAAAATCAAATGACTATTCAACTCTCTCTGACTTCTATAAATAACCTCTCCCAAGTTCACTGGATTATATGTTCTCACCTAAGTATCCCCTCCCCTGACACAAGGCATTCAACAACCTAAAATTCCAAAAAGCTGTCTGTCTCTTCAACACAGTTCCTCCCTTCCCTGTAAATGGTTTCACCCAAAACATTTTTTTCCTTTGTTCTTATCTTTTCATTTTATAACAGCTTATTTTTACATCATTTTGTACGTTTTTTTTCCCCATCTCAATTGTAATCCCCACGGGTTTCCCATCACCAAGTCTCCCGTGTGCCATCACCATAATCCCGTGCACTTCCCTCCCCACCCCCCTACCCCACCCCCTTTTTGATCCCATTCCCAACTCCATCCATCCCCACAAAATGACTCTGGTATATGGTGGTTCATTATTCTTGTTATTTTCTCGCCTGGTCCATTATACTCCTGCTATGAGTGAAACCATCTGGTATTTTTCTTTCTCTTTCTGGCTTATCTCACTAAGCATGATCTTTTCCAGCTCCATCCAAGTTGCTGCAAAAGACATGTGTTTATCTTTTTTGGTTGCTGAGTAATATTCCATTGTGTATATATGTACCACATCTTTTTAATCCAGTCATCTACTTTTGGGCATTTGGGCTGCTTCCATGTTTTTCCAATTGTAAATAAAGCAGCAGGTATCTTTTTCAATTAGTGTTTTTGTGTCTTTTCGGTAGATACCTAGGAGTGTCACCCAAAACACTTTAAGGTATCTCTCAATGCTTCCTTAATTCCGAGTCTTAACAAACGAAAAGATACCTTCCACCATATTTGCCCAGCAAAAATGAACCGCCCAAATCTTTCCCCTTACGCTTCCTTTAACCTGCAGCACTCCCATTGAACAAAGCCTATTCTCAGTCATTTTTCAACCTCTAGAGCCCATGGTCACTCTCTAAGCATCTCGGCTCTCCCCCTTCTCTTCTCCCCTTCTTCCCTACCCTCAACTTCTCAGCACATTTCTATTACCCTTCACAGTCTCCTTAGCTATAATCTTCACTTTTTTTTTTTAAGGTCTCTCCCCCAAGCTTTCTCATTTGTCCCTTCAGAAATTTCAGTTATCCCCTAAGAACCCTAATATACCTCTTACAGCTCTGGAAACTCTCTAGAACCTTCTGCTCCCTAGTGCTAGCCAACTCCAACCCTGCCTCAATGATTCCCTATTTTCCCTCAATATTTTTAATGCCTAGTTCTTAGTCCTCCGAAATCTTTCTTTGGTTGTTTCACTAATTCTCTTCAACTTTTCAGTCATTCCCCCATTCCCCTCAACGACCCAGCCCCTGGCAAATTTTCCCACACCTTTATCAAAAGTCTACTCTTTCCTCAAACCTCGTCCATCTCTTCTTTCTGAGGTGCCTCCTACCATCCTACATCCTCTGAGCTTCCTCAGTCTTTGCCTCATTTCAGTACTATTTGTCTTCCCATTTCTATTGACTTGGCGCTTCTCCTTGTCCCCCCAATCTGCTTTCTACTCCATCTAAACGTCTCCAGGCCGCCGCCAACATACTTTCCTACCCTTAGCCTCCGTTGGCGCTCTAAACACCCAGACACAATCCTCCAATGACTCGGGCCTGGGCTCTAGGGAGAAGGGGTACGGGTCACGTACCCCATTCGCATCTTGGTTCCGCTCTGGCTGCCCCCGCTACCAGGGAGAGGAGGACGAGAGGGCAGACGTCCAAGGTGCATGCTCTTCTCGAGGGCCGACATGAAGTGGAGGCCGCAAGTAGTCAAACTGGAGCCAAAGCTTCGTCGCACTCTAAGTACGGCTTAACCGGTCACAGCTCGCTCCCCTAGCGACGCCCTGTCGCCTTTGGACAGCACCCAGTAACCAGCAGCACCGCCTACCGCCCACCGGCTCATTAAACCCCACCCCTTCTCCTTAGCCCTTCCACCGGAAGTGCGCAACAGCCCTCCACAAAGGAAGCTGGGTAACGAAGTCTGCGAACCCCACAGACCCTAAAGGGAGAACTCGACGACCCTCGCCGGAAAAAGAAACACTTCTGAAGGCAATGCACCCTGGGCAATGAAGTCCTCGACGGGAGTACCTCTTTGCGCTTGCGCAGCTGGTAGGAACCCTGTCCAACCCAGCAGAGGTAATGTAGCAAAGCATCCTGGGTGTTGTAGTCTTTTGACGGGAAAGTGTATTGGCGCCTTGCTTACACTTTGCCTGCCAAAGACTGTTAGAGGAAGCGCCTCTTCTTCCTGCCTCCCAGGCTGCCCAGCGGCTCCGGTTGCTGGGGAACGCAGGCGCTGTGGGAAGGGATGGCGGGAGGGCACTGCTTCGGCGCTGGCGCTGGAATTGACTTGAAGAAGAACTCGGACTGGTCATGAAACAAAGAAAAGACCACAGTCCCGGAGGCGGCCGTGGCCGCAAGAAGCGAGGTAATCTAGGCGACCGAAAGTCTGAGTAAAGTGTAATGGGGTGGGATTAGATATAAAAAGCAGGACGTGAAGAATTTCAGAGACCCTTCACCCATCTTCTCCCCTACCTACCTTCCGCCCCCAGCATCCTGTTTAAAAAGAGAGGAGAAGGGAGAATAACTAGGAATCAGACGGCTAAAAGAGGGCAATTGCACTTCCAACGAATGGAAAGGAAATAGGAACTGGAAATGGCAGACAATGGACAGATAAGTGGGGCGATAGAAGACTAAAGGGATACATCAGGTGGGACTCTTCTCGAGGGAGGGAACAAGAATTTTTAGAAGTTTTTTACTTTTTCTATTGAGATAAAACTGACATGACATACTAGTTTCAGATGTGCAACGTATGATTTCATATTTGTATGACGAAATAAATAGATGGATGTCTAATTAACATCCATCACAATTCATAGTTGTAATTTTTTTTCTTGAAATGAGAACTTCTAAGATCTACTCTTTAGATAGCTTACAAATGTACAATAATGTAGCATTAACTATAGTCACGTACTGTACACTACATGCTCAGGACTTAAAACATGTTTTTGATGAAAAAATTAAACGTGTGTGCATTCCGCTTTGTAGGTTCATCTGAGACTAGAGGTGAGTAAGGTCTATAAAATCCTAATAGGCAAGGATCTTGTTTTGCATTTTTGAACTCCCAAGAACTGGCACAATATAAGACTGGGTAGAAATGAGTGAATCGTGAAACAGTCATGCAGCATGAAAGGATACAGGGAGAAACTGGAAAAAAACAGTTGTGGAGGGAAAAGGAGGAAAGAATGGGGAGTGACAAGAGATGGTAGAGTCTGAGTGGGGTGAGGGTATGTGGATCCCTGAAGGATCTGAGATGATGGAAGTGTGTAGCAGGGGGGCCATTTCAGGTTTGTTTGCTCAAGGAGGAACAAGCTTAATAAAATAAAAGAACAGGGAAATAGCTCCAACAACAATATTTGTCTTAAAAATCTAGAGCAGATAGGAAACTGAATTTGAATCTTTTTTTTTTTTTAAGATTTATGTATTTATGCACGCAGAACTGAGGTACAGGCCAGAGGTACAGGGGCAGTGAGATTCACCAGAAACAAATTGGGGAGCAGAGCAAGCAGACTGATGAAGTACACTCCTGAGGGGAGCAGCCGGTGGGTCAGGAGAGGTCTGCTGCCATGTGGGTCACCTCCCTGGCCAGGGATTGAACTTCTGCTGAAGCAGCTGCCACTAGCTTTATAGTGCTGCACTTTAACCCAATATACCACCAGGGACGGCACTGGAATTAGAATCTTAACAGGGCATAAACTCATGCCATTCACAGCAGCATGGAGTTGGAAGGGATTATGCTTGGTAAAATAAGCCAGAAAGAGAAAGAAAAATGTTGGATGGTTTCACTTATAGGAGGAATGTAGAGGAACCAAATAAGGGGTCAGGAAAATTATAATAAATTAAAAATCAACAGCAACTATAAATCAGAAACAGTCTACAGGAAAGGAAGTGGAAAGTGGATCAAAACAGAGGAGGGAAGAATACAAGGTACTGTGGTGATGGTGGACAAGTGAATTGATGGTGGGAATTTCTTGGGGACTACACCTGAAAGGAGAAGGCATATGTTGTACAAAAATTAAGAACAAAGTAATATATATATATATAATTTAAAAAAAAACAAACACAAAAACCAAAACATAGGTTGACTCTTTTTTTACATTGTAGGTAAAGAGATATTAGGAGTAGTGAAAGTAATTAGTTGTTGACTTGAATATTGAAGTCTGGAAATATATCTTAATACAATTGTAGTTTTAAGCCTTTCCTGACAGAAATGATGGATGGATGTAAGACAAAAGCATGGAAGTGTTTAATGCTGGACTCCTTATGTCTAACCACTTAAACATATACGGTGATGCTCATATATAGCCCTGTGTATGAATTTTATATTAAAAGTAGTTACCCATAAAAATGATGGTGGATCTTTTCTCCACAATAGAGGGGGGGGGGGTGTTCACTTTAGAAATCAACAGATTTGATTGTACACATTTCTGATCAAATAACACCCTGGTATATTTTCTTCTTGTCAGGTTTGTTCATTCTCTAAAGGAAAAGTCAGAGGACTAAAAAAGTGTGTGTAATAGATAATTGGTTCCTTAAATCATCTCCAAGTCTTGTTTAGAATATACTGTGAATGGAAAATAATCAGTCTTTCATATAAAACAGGGAAAGTTTTATAGAAATTCATTATTAATTGCCTCAATTATAGTTTATTGTATCTGAAATCCAGTAAATATAAGAACCAGTAAGTAGTATGAACTCAGCACTGTGCAAAAAAAAAAAGGCAAAATCTGATGTGATCGTCTCTGTTCTCAGATAGTGTGAACAGGAAAAGATCATTTAATGTCTGTTGAAATGCTGAGATATAAGGTATAGAATTAGTCTTTTTAAGATTTGAATATAGGACATTGTTGTTTATGTTTAATGATTAATTTAAAGTAGGAAAATTAGGTTAAGGCAATAACTTAAAAGCTGGATAAGCAAAATAACAGAACTTAGAGAAGAAATTTCAGCTACTTAAATTTTCCAAATTTATCTATATCATTATATATTTGTATTTTTTCAGTAGTACCTTTCAGTCAAAAAAGGAGCTTGAATTAACATGTCTTACTACTTTTAATAACCTGAGTCAAACCCTAAATATTAATTAGTTATCAAAAGTGGCGTTTGTGACCAGAAAAAGTATTCTATAATTAGCTTTGCTAATTCTAGAGTAGGTCAAATAAACATTTTGAAGAGGCTAAAATGGTTTTGTTCAAAAAGCAGATTACAATAGGTTTGAATTGAATGGGTCCACTTATAAATGGATTTTTTGAATTAGTATAGAAATTTTTTTCTCTTAAGATTTTCACATTTTCTGTTCTCTCGTATACTTATTTTTAAAATATAATACATAATATATAACATACAAGATATTGTTATTGATTAGGCTTGCAATCAACAGTGGCTATTAATAATTAAGTTTGGGAGCAGTCAAAAGTTAAACACAGATTTTTGACTGCATAGGTCACCACTTGGTGACCTATGATTTTTGACTGCATAGGTCACCCCAGGTTATTGAGTTGTCACCTGTGTATGTTTTCTCTATGTAGTATAAATTTTGACATACTGTTCCTGTATTCCTCCACAGGTTTGAGTGACATTTCTCCATCTACAAGCTTACCACCTCTGGTTGAAGGCCAGCTACGCTGCTTTCTGAAACTTACTGTTAATAAAATTATATGGAAGATTGCAAAGCCTCCTGCCTGTGTACTTGTCCGAGTGAGATGGTGGGGAGAAACATCAGATGGAACTCTCTTTTGTCCCAGGGATGCATTGCAGACTGAACCAAAAGCTGTGAGAACAACTACACGTTATGCTATTCGCTGTGGTCCAAAGCAGTTTACCTCTTATCTGACAGGTTTGGTTTTTGTCTTATCATTTTAAACCTGAAGTGATTTTGTTAGCAATAGATGTTATTATGTACTTTTTATCTGTGGTCATTGTTCATTATTGAGGAGTCAAAGAAATTTTATATTAGCTCCTATTTATTGAGAGTTTTACCTATTATTTCTGATCCTTACCCTGCTAAATAGATATTTTTTCTCTTTTATAGACAAGTATAACTGAAGTTATACTTGTTAGAGATGAAATTAATCCTGTGTAAGGTCACACAGTTCTATCAACTACAGTCACCTTTTCTGGGGGGTAGAGGGATGGCAAGAATGCTGGACAATAGGGATACTAATTCCACAAAAAATGCAGGATAGAGATCATAAACCTATTAAGAAGTTAATTTTTTTTTCTCACCATGGTAAAGCATGTGAAATCTATAGTTGGATAAAACTGAGTTTTAACCCAGTTGTGTTACTTTAAAATTTTTTTTTAAAGATTTATTTATTTATTTATTCATACAGAGCTGGGGTACAGGCCAGAGATGCGGAGGGTGAGAGAATTCACCAGGGATAGAGTGGGGAGCAGAACAGGTAGATCGACGAAGTACACTGCTGAGGGGAGCAGCGGGTTGGTCAGGAGAGGTCTGCCACGCCATGTGGATCTCCTCCTCTGGGGTAGGCGGGGATCGAACTGGTGCTGAAATGGCTTAGGCTTCTTTTGCAGTGCATTAACCCGCTGCGCCACCAGGGAGGGCCCAACTTTAAAATGTTTTAAAGAATTAATGAGACATGAAAGAGGGTGGTTATAAATCCAATAAATATTGATACATATTCTCTTATTCTACATATGCACATCACCTTATAGTCTGAGGCACTTTCACATCTGTTAATTCTGATGATTTAGTTACATCCAGTAGTAGGTAAGACAAGGACTGTGACAAGGATAAATATTAACTTACTTGTCTAAAGGCTCATAACAACCACTAAGCAATTACCCTGTGAGAGGATACTATTATGTGTTTTTTTTGCAGTATCCCCATTCCTTTCACAGCTGTGATGCAGGTACTATGATACCTACTTTATAGACAACTATAGCCTACAGAAGTAGCATATAAGTATTGGCACCAGGACACAGTCAAAGGTCTTTTAATTATATGGTCTGCGTTCTTTTCACTAAATTATTGAACAAATAGTGAAATGAACCTTTTTCTCAACTTCAGTACAAAAGTGTTCAGAAGTTATACTGTCCTGAAATAAGCTCAATTGTATATACTTGCATTGTAATTCTTCTGTAATAAATTAGGACCATGAGCATACCAAGCCTGGATGATTTATTGAAGAATATAGTTAAGGAGTTTATTCCTGTTCCTTTTAGTTCCAAATGCTTGCCATCTCTTACTGCCCCAGATGTAACACAGTAGTAAGAAGCTTGTTAGATACTCCTGGGAGGCAGGGGCCAGCCTTGCATCTATGCAAGAAAAGCCCTTTGTCTAATTCAAAATTAGAAGTGAGGAGAATGAAAGAACTGACAAATTGTTGCCTTTCTATTAAAAAAAAAAAAAAAACTTTTGGTTTTGTTTTTTTTACCTTAAAAAAAAAATCTATTGAAGTTATTTTCCTTATCTTGGTATACTAGTTTTATTCACTGTTTCATGTGAAGTATTTGTCATTATTCTTTTCTAGAACATTAGTGTTCTTTTGATCTTGGGTTCACTTTTTCATATCCCTTGAATGAGTGGTAAGTAGTTTATTGAAAATAAAATAATTATTTAAGTGAAATGCTTCCTAATACATACTCTTTCCTGCTTCCAAAAAAATAAGTTAATGGAAAATATCTATGTTGTGTTATAATTGTTTCTGATTAGATATGGCTGTGCTGGTGCTGGAAGTAATCACCAAATTCGATCATCTTCCCATTGGTAGAGTTCAGATCAGTGGACTAGCCCAGCTTTCTCCAACCCATCACATCAATGGATTTTTTACTATTGTTTCACCAACATCTAAGAAACTTGGTGAACTGCAGGTAAAACTATTTTAAAATATTTTAATTCTTTGAAGCATATTTTTGGGCAGAGATTGTTGAATCTGTTTTTAGAATATATGTGTGTACATGACTCCCATATACCATGCTAGTTCCCACTTTATACCTGTTTCATGCTGTTACCCACAGACTTACCTATATTCTTAGTCCTCTGTTGCCTACCTCAGGTCCTCAGAGTCCTTCACAGCACCTCCTCCATTCATTCTTCTCTATACTCTTTGTTAAATTCACAGTGACATTAATTATAGTCATTATTCTCTGTACCCTGTATGGTCTCCAAAATTGTGAATTAGTAGTCTCCCTTTAATATTCCCTTTAATATTAATTTCTGTATCTTCTGAGGAGGGACAGTGTTTTCTACTTTCTTTGTCTCTAACATAGTACCAAGCAGTGATAAATTTATAACTCACATAAGTGGTGTTTTTGATATATTCATTCATTCAGCTCTTTTTCTCCTAGAGATACTGTTACATTACCCTAGCTCAGGATACAGACATAAGACATTTAGGTTAGTGTTACAGAGTCAAGTAGGAGAAAACAGAGAAGAAACAAGTAGAGCACAATGTGATACAAATTATTCTATAGATAAGTGCAGGATGGTAGGAAAGAACATAGACCAGTTCCTTTCCTGAGGGAGGCTCTTTAGGAGACTCTTTGGGAATTCTGAATATTCAAATCCCTTAGAAATTTGTGAATTTTATATCTTGTCAAATGTTTTCTACACTTATATAGAAATTTAAATATATACAAAAGAAAATAATTTTTAAAAATGAGCAAAGGACATCTAACATTATATAAAAGAACCTATTAAACAGATGAAAGAACCCTTTTCAAAAACCACAAGTCCATATTTGTGTCAGTGGAACAAACAAATATAGTAGACGCCTCTAAATGAAGTTATAATTTTCTTTATTGGATTTATTATATTTTATTTTCAATATATTAAATTTAAAATGCCAAGATGAGTCTAGTTTACTCAGACTTCTCTGATAATGGTATATGTTTGAGTTAGACCTACCTACAGAACAGTTTGGAAATATACTTCAAGTGCCATAAAAATTCTTGCTGGAGCTCTCCCTGGTGGCACAACGGGTTAAAGCACCACATTATGAAGCTCTCCAAAGTCACTGCAGCACAAGTCTGATCCCCAGCCTGGAGCTGACTCAGGTAGCCCCCACGTGGTGTGGCGGCAGACCTCTCCTGTCCAGACCGCTGCTCCCCTCAGCAGTATACTTCCTCAAACAGCCCATTCTGCTCCCCACTCTGTCTCTGTGAATCCTATCACCAGCCACACCTCTGGCCTGTACTCCAGTTCTGTAAACATAAATAAATCTTTTAAAAAAAATTATTTCTCATTTATCTCAGTAGTTTCAACCCTGGAAACTTATCTTAAGGAAGCACCATAAAAAGAGAGTTCTAGATATGGAAATACATATTGAAAAGTTGAAGACAATATAACAGTATTTAAATTTTAATCTACCAGTGGGATACTTTGTACAGTATTAAAATTATAACCTACTGTGGGCTTATATATTAGATATTTTGTATCCTTAGATAAAAACAGTTATAACATATAGCAGCATGGAAAATGGTTTTGGAGTGATGGTGTTTAAGTCATATTAATAACTTTAAATATAATTTAAATTATATCCACATATATGCATATCATCAATGACTAGGGTGGGGAAGAAAAGGAACAATGAGAACCGTTTGAGTATAAAATTCTAGGTACATTTTTTTCACCTTTTAAAAAATTGAGATTTGGCCCTCCCTGGTGGCGCAGCGGGTTAAAGCACAGCACTGAGAATCTAAAGCCGCTTCTGTATGAGTTCGATTCCCGCCTGCCCCGGAGGTGACCACATGGCGTGGCAGACCTCTCCTGACCCGCCCGCTGCTCCCCTCAGCAGTGTACTTCGATGATCTGCCTGTTCTGTTCCCCACTCAGTCTCTGGTGAAGCCTCTCGCCGCCCCTAAGCCTCTGGCCTGTACCCCAGTTCTGTATGCACAAATAAATAAATCTTTAAAAAAAAAAAAAACTTTCTCAAAAATATTCTTTAAAAAAAAAATTGAGATTTAATTCACACACCATAAAATGAAGCTCAGTGCTACCCAGTACTATTTACCAGGTCTTTGAACAAGCTCAGGGCTTGGCTGTTTCTCTTAAAACCTTACAGTGGAAACCCATTAATTCCTTATCCAGCTAATAAGTATTAATAGACCAATTGAAAGTAGCCAGTTTTAGAAATTCATCCATATTATTTTGTATATCAGTATTTCCTTTTTGCACTTATACTCCATTGTAAGGATACTGCACAATTTTTTGTCCATCTGCCAGTTTGTAGATGTTTGATTTTCTTCCCCTTCTTTGAGTATTTTGAATCAAGCAATGCTATGTGAATATGTGTTTTTATTTCTCTGGGGACAACTAAGTGAAATGCTGACTGGAACATTTAACTTTTTAAGATCCCATCAAACTGTTCTCAAACTGGTCGTATAATTTTACATTCATAGCACCAGTATATAAACATTCTGGTTACTTCACATCTTCACCAGCAGTTGGTATGCTTACTCTTTAATTTCTGTAGTTCTAATGAGTATTTGCTGTTATCAAATTGTGGTTTTAGTTTACATTTTCTGATAACTAATGTTGAGTATCTTTTCCTGGATTTTTGGCCTTTTTTTTTTAACTTTTTAGGGATCCACATACTACTTTCCCCAGATAAATAAATAGTCTTGTTAGAGCACAGCCACACTCATTCATGTATGATTTGTAGTGATCTGCAGCAGGATTGAGTAGTTATACATCTTAAAATCAGGTGGTCTGAACCCTCAAATTTTTCTTTTTGGAACTTTTTCTATTCTCGGTCCTTTGCATTTCCACATATATTTTAGAACCACCTTGTTATTTTTTACAAAAATGCTTGCTGAGATTTTTGTTGAGATTCTGTAGAACCTACAGATCAGATTGGGGACAGTTGACTTTTAATCAGTGAACATACATGAACAATGGAGTATAATTCTCCATTTATTTAAGTCTTTAATGTCTCTACCATGCTTTGTGATTTGCAGTACATAGGTCTAACACATATTTTGTTGTATTTTTTCCAAAAATATCTGTGCTTTTTATTAACTGTGGAGGATTTTCAGCATAGACAGTTCTGTCATCTGTGAGTAATATATCATTTTACTGTAGATAAAGATCAATTTACTTCTTTTCTAATCCATATGCCTTTTATTCCATTTTCTGGCCTTATTGCACTGACAATATTGAGTAGAGGACTGATATCCTTACCTTGTTCTTGTTTGTGGGAGGAAAGAGTTGGTCTTTCACTATTACATATGACATTAAGTTAGATTTTTTTTGTATGTGTTCTTTATGAATGAGAAACTTAGCTCTTTCCCAAGTTTTCTGAGATTTTATCATAACTGGCACTGGATTTTATCATATTATTTTGCTCTATATGTTGGGATGATCAATTGATTTTTTCTTTTGACCTGTTGTTATGATTTACTACATCGATGCGTTTGGAAACTAAACCAGACTCTGGTTTATGTATATACATTTACATTTTTGTGTATATAAATATACACTTTTATGTATATGTTTCTGAAGGATACTCATCTGTAGTGTTTTTTTTGTTGTTGTTGTATTGTCTCTAATTTAGATGTCAAAGCAGTGAGGGCATAAAATATATTAAAATGATTTGCGAAGAGAGCTTTCTTCCCATTCTATTTTTTGGAAGTGTTTTTATCAAATTGATTAAATGGTAAAACTTAGCACTGAAGTTATGTGGTCCTTGATTTTTCTTTGTGGGGCATCTTGAATAACTAAAGAAGACAGAGAATGTCCTCAAAGTTCTATTATGGATGTGAAAATCACAGTATATATTCATGGCATTTGTGGATGACATATTGTTCAAATTTAGGATGTAATGTATTTAGGCATAGAAGGGTAGTCTGGAGATGGCATCAAAAAGGAGTGACACACTTCGTTTATGCCGAGGAGTGAAAGAATTAGTTTCCACTGGACAAGATTCCAGGGAAAATGGGACAAAGAAAGCGGTGTTCATTGAAAATGGTATGGTTAATTTTTATAAAATGGAAATTCTATAGGGCTCAGTGAAGGGGGTGGCAGAGGAGTAAGTCCAAAGGTGAGCCATGACTGGCAGAGCATGTCTGAGGTGGTACAGGAATGGTGCCATGAGAAACGAATACAGCAGTGTGTTCCATTCATTGTGTGCAAGCAGAAGCTTTAGGAGTGGCTCCCCCTTGGACTGATAGGAATTGCTAGAATGATACTCTTACTTTATACCTCTAAAGCTTAATTCATGTTTCCCTTTGCCTGAAATACTTTCCCTCAACCTCCCCTCCCCCTCAGCCTTATGTTTTTAATTCATATTTCAGATTTTAAACTCAGGTGTTTACATTTCATTCCTGCAAACCATCCTTGCCATTCCTTTTTCTTTTCTCCCCTAAGCTCTGACCCCTTTGTAGTGTTTCCAAAGGACGCAGTAAGGATCACATCCTCATCTTAGAATTTATCATTTAATATTAACAGCATTTTTTTAGAGGATAGCATATATATATATA